CAGGATCCAAACTCCTCCATCCAGCTCTCGTACTTTGAAACGTCACTGAGAGAGACACTCTTCTTACACCGTGACAGAGCCTCATCAAAATCTTCAGTTGTTACTGGAAGATCCACATCCTCTTTCTTGATCTTCTTAATTTCAGCAGTAGTGCGACCGGATATTTTGCGGCGCATTGACATCATGGCTGCATCCCTATAACAGATACGTGTTGCTTATAAAAGTGGTGGTAAGGTTACTCTATGTCTGAACATCATACCGTGTCTCATAAATGTTTGAGAAAATATTACTATTGTTACGATACATGAATAAATATGGAGAAGCAATGGTATGATACTGACAAGGGAGAACTGAAATGTTCTTAGAGAAACCTGTCCAATTGTCTCTTTGTCCATCACAAAACCCATAGTACTAACAAAAATGTGGAGATAATTTATCTCGGAAATGAATGCAGATCTTCATGATTTATATAGCTTACTTAACATTTTTAGAATAGTTAAAGAAAGAAGCTACAGTGAGCCAGTTACATGACTCACACCAAAGAAATACAAGCACAACTCTGGTTGGAAAACCTGTTGGGATGTGGCCACCTGAAGACTATGAAGAAGATGGGGAGAAATTCTCTTACAGAATGCAAAAGAATAAGTGACAACTTGTATTGTAACAACATATGAATTTCAGAAAAGGGCTGATTCATTTGTAAACGTTCAGTTTTGTGAGAGTTTTATTTGCAAGTCCACCAAGTGTGTTACTTCGGAATAACCGATGACTGACTGTCTTTGTCCTCACCAGTAGTGTGGTCAGTGCATTCATGGGATGCAGTAACACTAAACAAATCTCCAGTTTACCTGCACACATTGCTAATATCAGACCCTGTGTATCCTTGCAGTTTGTCAGCAATAACATTGCTGTCCAGAGCTTCATCCACGGTCACTCCCTCGAGGCACAGTTTCAGCAGTGCTGAGCGAGTTTCATCTGCAGCACACAGACACTTCTGACATTACATTATCTCTTCCTCCAAAAGTTATATAAAATCTGAGAGAAGTCTCTTTCACCTCAATGAATTTTTTAACGAAATTAGTGGTTTATTTATTACGAAACATATATTTTCAAATTTTATTCCTGATATCGTGCCACAGTAACACTAGTTTCGGTTGTATTTGAACTTTCTGATTTATCACATATTCCATAATCAATTAATATTTTTAAAAAATCTCCTTGTTCCAGAACCTAAAACTTGGTTCTCGATGTTCACTGGAGGGCTGTTTCAAGTAGCAGCCAGTAAATCTCAAATTTCTATGCTGATCGCAAACATCCAGAACGGATAAGAGGAGGAGGAGGAGAATATCTGGAGTGCCATTAGTTTTGAAAAAAATGTAACTACAATAAATGAACATAATGAACAATAAGGCATGCATAATCTCACAGAATGTGTTTGAAGAATGTCTACTGAAAGTTATCGGTATTCCTTTTCACACTGTGTATAGCTCACCATTTGGAAGAGGAATATAGACCCTCTTCTCAAACCTCCTCCTGAAAGCCTCATCTATGTCCCATGGGTGGTTAGTGGCAGCCAGAACCATTATAATTTTGTCTTCATTGCTGTAATTCAGAAAAGGGTGAACAGTTTCTTTTCAGTGCTCCATAATGACTATTTAAACAATGTCACAAATAAATAGACACCAATTGACTGTGTGCTTGTATTAGAGGGGTATTTATTAGAAGACAACTGTCCTTTATGCAGAGCGTTAAGAAATATGTTGGAAGAGATACTGTCGGAAACCAGAACATAATAGACAGGATATGAAAGTAGAAATTCTGCAATAAACATTTCAATGGCATGGACAATAAGAGGTTATTTCATTTTGGAGCTTCTCCAGTTGCCTGGCTAATAGCAATCGCACCGACCCCCACTGGAGCTTTTGTGTAGTCACCTGCTGGAATTGATGCCATCCATCTGTATCAACAGCTCAGCCTTGAAGCGCCGTGAAGCTTCGTGCTCTGAATCTGTCCCCCTCTGTGAGCACAGCGAGTCAATCTCATCGATGAAGATTGTGCTCGGTGAGTAAAACCTGGCCTGTAACAGAAAGAGCATTTCCTTTTTACCACACACATCACGTCAGGGTACTTAAATTGACCAGAAAAATATATCAAGATGGACAATTTAGTGCCAAAGTGTTATTTTCTTTTTTCTTAAATACAGTTCTCCACACAACTGTTCTTTTGTTTTTGTTAAACTATTGCATTATAACACAAACACAACAAAAACAAAAGTTAATAGTACACTAAGTAAATGGAAGACTTCTCCATTACATGTTCCGGATGAAAGGTGCTTACCATCTCGAACAACAGCCTGACTAGTTTCTCTGACTCGCCTCGATATTTGGAAGTAAGGGTAGAAGAGGAAACATTAAAGAAGGTTGTTCCACATTCGGTAGCCACAGCCTTGGCCAACATGGTCTTCCCTGTCCCTGGCGGACCCACCATCAGCACCCCTTTCCATGGCCGCCGAATGCCCTGCAAGTGTAACGTCACTCTTCAGTCCAAAGCCACAGTTAGTATTTCGAGAACCAAAAATGTGTTCATATCACAACATTCTGATTCAATAAAGAGGAACACATGTGAGACTGAAGAAGTAAATACAGACGATATCTACGCACAAAAGACACTAGATAAAATGGAAAACATAATATTATAGAAAATACAAGATTTAAATGAAAAATGGACCATAGCAAATAAAACTATTTACTTTTTTCTTCCCGTTATAATAGGTTTGCTGCCTGTTCTTTCTGGTCAAAGAGAATCCCTCCACCTCTTCGCGGGTCTTCCTACGTCTCTTTTTCCTTGTGGTGACAATACACAGAGAAATTAAAAAATGACATTTAAAAGGCTAACAATAGTCTGCACGTAAACAAAGTTGGTCCACAAACATGTATGGAATGATAAAAACCGCTCTAAAAGGTTGCAAGGATGACTCAGACAGAAGAAAGTTTACGAGGCGGACCAAGAAGAATACTACAAGGACGACAATGGACACGTGGCCAATCCGACTCGACTACGAACGATACGGGAGACGCAGAAAGCTACCTTGAAGAAGTCCGGCATGAGTATGGGCAGCACCATCGCCTCCTGCAGGATCGCCTTGGCCTCGTGCAGGCCGGCCACCCTGGTCCACGTGACGTCTGGGTTACGCTGCAGGATATCTTTCTCGATCGTCTCGACAAGGTGCGCCTCGTAGCCCGC